GGAGAAAGATTCACCTGGGATAAATCATGTGAGGTACTGAAATATACTGAGAGCCATGAGAAAAGGTCTGCAGCTGTAATATACAGTTTGGACATCTTTTCATTAACTTTCCAAAAGGGAGTGCGTTTTGATGGACCTGATTTGGGTGTCACACTCCCTTTTCAAAGCTGCAATTGGCTGAGTTCATTTCTAATGCTGAGCAATGTTACTAATTTCCAAATGTGTGAGCTAAAAGCAAGCAAACACAAGGCTTAGCCTCTGGAGAGAACTGATGGCATGGAACATGCAAAGAAGTAAGATATGTATACGTGGGATACTGAAGTTAGATTTTTCTGGGTTAAATTGGAATTAGTAAATTGGCAAGATTTTCCTTCCAGGACATAATTTGGCAAATCTTGGCAAAATCATGCATCCTCTGACAAGAATTTCGTAAAAGAGACTTAAATTTTTACTTAGGCTGAAGAGTCTTTCAGTGTCTTTCTCATGGATTGCATCTCATGCTTAAATGTTGACTGCCAAATGAAGAAACTAAAGATTAGTTTCCAAAGATATAAAGCATTATTTTTTAATCACCTTATCTTCCATTAGTTAGAATAGAAGGACTGGGTTTGGAACTGTTTCCATCACAACAGCATAAATCTCAGCATAAAACATAAATCTCCTGTGATTAGGCAGTTAATTTGTTGAAAAAGGGGGTAATGCTTAATCAGATAATTTCCCCAGCAGTGAAAGAAAATACTAAAGAAAAACTTTATAACTGTTAAGTATTGACAGTATTTGTATATATTGAGTATTTTCATCCACTTGAAAAATAATCACTTACAAAATAAGCCAATGTAAATACTATGCTTTTTTTCCTCAGAAATTCACAGCAGCTTGTCCTTAATGTGCAAAATTGCTCTAAGGATACTAACACTGAGACTGCAGATTGTGTAATAAAAAATTCAGTTATTGATAGCTTTATTATTTCCACCTGTTGCTTTGTTAAAAATTGCAATCATTGCAATATAATAATTTTCTTTGGTGGTCAGCTGATGATATTGTTTCAGAGATAGCCGATACTATTTCAAGCTCAGTTTGTAAGAAATTAGATCCTTTGTTCTCACTAAAAGAATACAAAGATGGCAATTCCCTTAATCACTACTCACAGAATTTATGCAAGTGAGATAACTAGCATGACAGTATAAATATTGGATCTGGGAAACAGAAATTAGCAAACTATTCCTGTTTAGGATCAAGTGTTTTTTTTTTTTTTTTTCCCTTATATACTTACTTATTTGCCCTATTAAACATTAGTGAGCACACTCTCTTGTTTCATGTGACACATTTAAGTAAGATTTTCTTTGGCTGGATGGCAGAGCCCAGAGGGTGCTGATAAATGGGGCTGAGTCTAGTTGGAGGCCTGTGGCCAGTGGTGTCCTGCAAGGGTCAGTACTAGGCCCAGTGCTCTTCAACTTGTTCATCAGTGATTTGGATGAGAGCACAGAGTGCACTCTCAAGAAGTTTGCATATGACAGCAAACTGGATAGAGTGACTGACTCTCCAGAGGGCTTTGCTGCCATTCAGAGGGACCTGGGCAGATTGGAGAGTTGAGCAGAGAGGAACCTCATGAGGTTCAAGAAGGACAAGTACAGGGTCCTGCACCGGGGGAAGAATAACCTCAGGCACCAGTACAGATTAGGGGTTGACCTGCTGGAAAGCAGCTCCATGGAGAATGATTTGGGAGTCTCCATTGACAACAAATTAACGATGAGTCAGCAATGTGCCCTTGTGGCCAAGAAGGCCAATGGGATCCTGGCCTGCTTCAGGAGGAGCGTTGCCAGCAGGTCAAGGGAAGGGGTCCTGCCCCTCTACTCTACTGCCTGCCCTGGTGAAGCTTCACCTGGAGTATTGCGTGCAGTTCTGGGCTCCCCCATACAAGAAGGACATTGAGCTTCTAGACAGGGTCCAGCATAGAGCGACAAAAAAGATGAAGGGACTGGAGCATCCATCTCAAGAGGAAAGACTAAGTGAGCTGGGCCTGTTTAGCCTAGAGAAGATTGAGAGGGGATCTGATCAACATGTACAAGTATCGGAGGCGTGAATCTGGGGAGGGTGGGGCCAAACTCTTCTCAGTGGTGGCCAGTGACAGGACAAGGGGTAATGGGTACAAACTGAAACATAGGAAGTTCCATCTCCATGTGAGGAAGAACTTCCTTCCTGTTAGGGTGACAGAGCCCTGGGACAGGCTGCGCAGAGAGGTTGCAGAGTTTCCTTCTCTGGAGATCTTCAAAACCTGCCTGGATGCCACCCTGTGCTATGTGCTCTAGGTGTCCCTTCTTGAGCAGGAAGGTTGAACTAGATGATCTCTAGAGGTCTCTTCCAACCTTAATTGCTCTCTGATTTTGTGATTCTGTATTAAAGCCAAATTTATTTTTACATACACAGTAAATATGGACCGTATCTGTACTTTTTGATTGTTGGAGGCAAAAATTACGTGGTCTTCATTTTCATTTTTTAATTCATAACATTGTTGTAATAGGTTTTATGATCAAAAATTGTTTAGGGATGTGAGCTTTCTGGATAGTGTACATTATAAATTCAGCTCTGCATCTTTGCAGAGAAAAACTTAGGGGTCCTGATGAACCAGAAGTTGGCCATGGACCCTTTATGTGCCCTTGCCACAAAGGAGGCCAATGTCATCCTGACCTGCATTAGGAAGAATATTGTCAGCATGTTGTGATGAATCTTTTTCCTCCACTCAACACTTGTGAGGTCACATCTCAACTACTGTGTTCATGTACTGAGTTCTCCAGTACAAGAGAGACCTAGGCCTACTGGAGCTGTTCCATGATTCTGTGATTCTATGATGGGCAACAAAGATGATTAAAGGACTGGAACATCTGTCATATGAGGTGAAGTTTAGAAAGCTGGGATTGTTCAGCCTGGAGAAAAGGAGGGTCAAAAGAGAGCTTATATATTTACCTGCAGGAAGGGAGTAAAGAAAATGAATTCAGACTCTTCTGAGAGGAACTCAATTTAAATATAATAAAAAGCTTTTCTGCTGGAATAGATTGCCCAGAGAGCTTATAAAGTCTCTAATGGAGATATTAAAAACTGAATTTAATACAGTCCTCAGTATCCCACTATCTGACCCTGCTTTGAGCAGGGAAATTGAGCTAGATGAATATCTACCGACA